TTTCATTCACATAGATCATAGCAAGTTTATCTGCATTATACTGAGTCTTCACAGGTACGAAGTGAGCAGACTTAGTCAATCGGTCTACAATGACTGTAACGACCCCAAAATTCGTATCTGAATTTGCTTTATGTCCTTGTGGGTTAATGCCTTTTAATTTAATGATATCTGTTTGAATTGAAGCATTATCTGTTGAGTTACGGCTTTAAAATCGAAATTACCAACCTTTATGGGTTCAGAAATCAAAATTAAGTACTTGAGGGTGTTAATGTGAATTTTTAGAACTATTTGGGAAAATTAATTGGGACTCTAATTTGTCCAATTCATTAATGCATGTTTCAGTGGTTAACTTTGTAGTACAAATTGACGGCCTTAGAGGCTTCAGAAACCAGAACAGTGGACATATTTATGATCAACACAATTTTTAGAGTCATCTGGGAGGTTTAATTGAAATTTGATTTTGTATGATTCGTAAGGATGTGTTTGGCTACTCCTAATTGTCATAAGTATATATATATATATATATATGGATGTATATGATGAGGAACTTAACATTTTGAGCCCAAAAATATCTAGAGAAAAGAGGAGAGACATGTGAGAAAGAGAGGGGAGAGAGTTTTGGAGAGAACTCAAAGAGAGGAAGGAAGAAAGAGTAAAATTGAAAGAAGCAATCAATGAATTGGCTTGAATTCATCATGATTATGCAAGAACAAGTGTTGATAAGAACTTAAGGTAAGACTCTCCCTCTCAACACTTGAAGATCACAAGCTAAAGAATGAGTTCTTGGGTTATCTATAATTATATGTATGGGTTTGGTTCATTCAAGCAAGAAGATGATGAATCTTTATACATAGCATGAATTTATGTTACAACTTAACTTCTTGTAAGGATTTTATGGCTCTTAAAGAGACTAGAGAGGATTCTACCATGTGAATGAGTTTTAAACCCCAAATCATGGTTACCTTATGCTTTTGTGTTCTAATTTGTAATCTTGTTCTTGTTATTGAGAAATTGAGTTGTATTTTGGAGTTATGAATTGGAATGGAAGCTAAGAATGTGAAATTTATCTTGTATTAAAGAGTTTTAGGCTTTGATTTACTTGAAATTGAGGTTTGATTTTGAAAAGGAAAAGTTCTAAATTAGACAACTATTTTCGGACTCTGATTTTGCCCAAACCGCACGAGCGGCCATTGGCACTGCACGAGTGGAACATGAAGAAAAAAAAGAGGTTTCATTCTATTTTTGGGTGCTCGATCGGCCGGGTTCTTCCGCTCGAGCGGATTTGGGCCGCACGAGCGGCCAAAGTGGGCGCACGAGTGGCCACCCCTGTTTCAGCATGTACTCGGTAACTTTGAATAAGCATATCTTTTGCATCCGGACTCCGGTTTGAGTGATTCTTGAGCCTAAAATCAAGCCCCGGAAGTCTAGTTTCCATTGGCAGTGGTCGCACTCACAAATTGTAGGTACAGAAATAGTTATGCCTAAATTAGTGAGAGTTGCTCACTTTCTATCTACCGGTTTTGTACCATTTCTTCACTTAAACTATTTTCCTATCGATTCCTCCTATCTTCTGAGGTATGGATTATAACCTATGGAGGACTAATGCAGTTAGAACCACCATGGCTATTGATTAAGGAATAAAAAAAAGATTGGTTTTATCCTCATAATCTGCTATATATATTTTGTTTGTAGGTCAAGACGAGGACATCGTTCCACCGCTATCGGAAATCTACCACTATGAGTAGAAGTAGTGTTGTCGAACATTTACTTACCATTAATAATTCTTATTATTATTAACGTTCTGTTCCTTGTAAGTGATTATGTTAACATTTATGTTGGTGGGAAATCGGTACAAACTTGTGTGAATATTGAAAGGGCTGGGTACATTGGTCTTACCCTGGAATTACTCTGCATTCCGGTTACATTTAAAGATTATCTGTAATGTGCTATAATCTGTAAATTACTTGTGATTCCGCATAAGAATTGCGTACAGACTATTAATTCTGTGAAGTTAGTTAACAGGAAGAAATCGTGAATGTAAGCCGTGTACCGGGAACATGATATTGAATGGGAACATGACTTTATACGATGCTTAGTACATGTTGCTTTATACGTTAGTAACCATTGAGAAATTATGCTAAATATCAGACTAACCTATGAATAACTCAATGCAAGGAAAGAATTGAATATCAATAACATTGTTATGTGACTCATGTTATGATATGAACTGTTCTGACCTATTGATGTAATGGTACCTTTACCTTTGGACTATTGTTAATATTAATGTTCTGCTAATTACGAGACAAGTATGTCGACCTACAAAGAACCATGAGGAAATCTAAGCGCATCGTTGGATCATACGTTTTGTTTATTGTTGATAGTTACTGTTGACATTCCATTGTCTGCGAGTTAGTGGTATTGGTTCATGACAAGCAAATGGGATGTATGTGCATTATGGAACTTTGGTATCTACGTATCTCTGGAATGTGGTTACCTTTTGCTAACAATTATCAGGAACGTTCTGTTCAACTTATATTACTGATGGTAATTCATGTGAATAATGGAAAGAATGTATGTACTTTCTGTATGATTATGAAGTTAATATGTTCTGAAGATTTCTAGTATGGAACAAAGTGTTGTACGGAACTAAGTGCTACCACTTTGGTGGGAGCCACCTCTAGAATCCGTACGAGCCAGCTCTTGAGTCCATACATATGTATTTCTGGGCCGCTAGGCCGTTCTGTTATCTCTGGGCCGCTAGGTCGTTCTGTTATTTCTGGGCCGCTAGACTATTCTGTTATTTCTGGGCCGCTAGGCCGTTCTGTTATCTCTGGGCCGCTAGGTCGTTCTGTTATTTCTGGGCCGCTAGACTATTCTGTTATTTCTGGGCCGCTAGGCCGTTCTGTTATCTTTGGGCCGCTAGGTCGTTCTGTTATTTCTGGGCCGCTAGACTATTCTGTTATTTCTGGGCCGCTAGGCCGTTCTGTTATCTTTGGGCCGCTAGGTCGTTCTGTTATTTCTGGGCCGCTAGACTATTCTGTTATTTCTGGGCCGCTAGGCCGTTCTGTTATCTTTGGGCCGCTAGGTCGTTCTGTTATTTCTGGGCCGCTAGACTATTCTGTTATTTCTGGGCCGCTAGGCCGTTCTGTTATCTTTGGGCCGCTAGGTCGTTCTGTTATTTCTGGGCCGCTAGACTATTCTGTTATTTCTGGGCCGCTAGGCCGTTCTGTTATCTTTGGGCCGCTAGGTCGTTCTGTTATTTCTGGGCCGCTAGACTATTCTGTTATTTCTGGGCCGCTAGGCCGTTCTGTTATCTTTGGGCCGCTAGGTCGTTCTGTTATTTCTGGGCCGCTAGACTATTCTGTTATTTCTGGGCCGCTAGGCCGTTCTGTTATCTTTGGGCCGCTAGGTCGTTCTGTTATTTCTGGGCCGCTAGACTATTCTGTTATTTCTGGGCCGCTAGGCCGTTCTGTTATCTTTGGGCCGCTAGGTCGTTCTGTTATTTCTGGGCCGCTAGACTATTCTGTTATTTCTGGGCCGCTAGGCCGTTCTGTTATCTTTGGGCCGCTAGGTCGTTCTGTTATTTCTGGGCCGCTAGACTATTCTGTTATTTCTGGGCCGCTAGGCCGTTCTGTTATCTTTGGGCCGCTAGGTCGTTCTGTTATTTCTGGGCCGCTAGACTATTCTGTTATTTCTGGGCCGCTAGGCCGTTCTGTTATTTCTAGGCTGCTAGGCTGCTCTGTTATTTCTGGGCTGATAGGCCGTTCTGCTATTTCTGTGCCGATGGCCGTTCTGTGTATTACTGGGCTTGAAGTCGCTCTGCTAAGGAAATTGGGCCATGGCCGTTATAGAAATGACTACAGAATGTAATTAATCATTATGCCTCTACAGTTATATGCTTTATTATTTAAGTTAACCACTGCTTTATTTATGTGTTATTATTCACTGAGTTTTACTCACTCTGTATTTTTTCAGTACCAGAGGGTAAGGCAAGAATCGGAGCTGTAGTTAGCTTCGTTTTCAATTCCTGGAAGGCAGATTCCCACTGCTCTGACCATTCAAATGCAACTCCCTTTTGAGTCAATTGTGTATGCGGTATAGCGATTTTGGAGAAATCCTGAACAAACCTCCTATAATACCTGACTAATCCCATAAAACTACGTACCTCAGTCACATTGGTAGAAGTTGGCCAATTCACGATCGCCTCAATTTTGGGTGGATCAACAAAGACTTCTTCCTTTGTTATAACATGCCCCAGAAAAGCCACCTCTTGTAGCCAGAATTCACATTTTTTCAACTTTGCATACAGTTTCTTTTCTCGAAGTATTTGAAGAATTAAGCGAAGATGATTCTCGTGAGCTTCTGCATTCTTTGAGTAAATGAGGATATCATCAATAAAGACCACCACAAACTCATCCAGATAAGGCTTAAAGACACGGTTCATCAAATCCATAAATGCTGCTGGTGCGTTAGTAACTCCAAAGGGCATAACCAAAAATTCATAATGGCCGTATGGGGTTCGAAAAGCAATCTTCTCAACATCATTAGCTTTAACTTTCAATTGATGGTATCCGGACCATAGATCAATTTTAGAAAAGACCTGTGCCCCTTGTAACTGGTCAAATAAATCATTGATCCGTGGCAATGGGTACTTATTTTTAATTGTTACCTTATTGAGTTCCCTGTAGGCGATACACAATCAGAGTGTTCTGTCCTTCTTTTTTTCACAAACAGAACTGGTGCACCCCAAGGAGACACACTCGGGCGAATGAATCCCTTGTCAAGTAAAGCCTGCAATTGAATCTTTAATTCCTTCATCTCAACTGGTGACATTCTATCATCGATCCGTGGCAATGGGTACTTATTTTTGATTGTTACCTTATTGAGTTCCCTGTAGGCGATACACAATCAGAGTGTTCTGTCCTTCTTTTTTTCACAAACAGAACCGGTGCACCCCAAGGAGACACACTCGGGCGAATGAATCCCTTGTCAAGTAAAGCCTACAATTGAATCTTTAATTCCTTCATCTCAACTGGTGACATTCTATATGGAGTCTTAGAAATAGGTTGAGTTCCCAGTGCCATTTCAATTGTAAACTTGATTTCACGGTCTACTAGCTCTCCCAGTAATTCTTCCGTAACGACATCCAGAAATTCACAGACAACTGGAATCATGTCAGTATTCCCACTCATCACTTGCCCTTCCAAAACAATGCATAAATACCCCTGACCCACTTTCTGAATTAGGTTACAAGCCTTTGCTTCAGAAATCAAATAAGGTGGAAAAGTCATCCCATGTCCCTGAAAGGTAAATTTTGATTGTCCCGGAGGGCGAAAACTGATTTGCTTAGTCAAACAGTCAATAGTTGCACCATATTCACTTAACCAGTCCATACCTAGAATAATATCAAAATAAGTCATGTCAAGAGGTAACAGATTGGCATATACCCGGATGTCCCCAACTTGAAGTTCACAAGCAAAATAAACAGAAGTACAAATCAAAGAGTCTCCCAAAGGCGAAGACACACACAACATATAAGGCAATACTTCCTCAAATTTATCTAAATTTTGCGCAAATAGTTTTGACACAAAGGAATAGGTTGAGCCAGAATCGAACAATATATGATCAGAATGACCGTGAATAATAAATGTACCTGACACCACTGTTGCCGCATTTTGCACATCTCCTGGAACCAATGTAAACACCCTACCTTGTCTCACAGTGTCTTTATTGTTAGCAGGTTTGGCAACTGACTTGGTGTTGGAAGTTGGTGTAGACCCTACTAAACTTGTAACAGCCCTATTGCCATTTTTTTGATTCCGCTGAGGGCAATCCCTTACCAAATGGCCCGTTTTGCCACAACTAAAATAGGCCCCAGACTTCTGATAGCATGTTCCACGGTGCTTCTTTCCACATTCTGAACAAATAGGGGTTGAGTCTGGTGTGAGGGTGGAAGCACTAGAAGTCCCTGAGTTTTGTTTCTTGCTAGGTGGAGTAGTTGACCCCGTTGATAATTGATTGTTCTGCCTCTTTCCCTTCCATTCAGAAATCCGACTCTGAGCAGCAAGGTTTCCCTCTGCGATAACAGCCCTCTCCAACATATCAACATAGGTAGGTAACTCTAACATGTTGACTCTATCCAGGATAGCACCCCGTAATTCCCCTTCAAATTTCTGTGCCTTCTTATAATCCGTGTCCACCATATGAGGTGCAAACCGGGCTAGTTCTGCAAATTGAGCTTCATACTCTGCAACGGTCTTGTTCCCTTGTCTGAGAGTTTGAAATTCTATCACCTTCTTGTCTCGCATACTTTGAGGAAAGTACTTGTCATAAAACAGCTCCAAGAATTTGTCCCAAGTTAAGCCTTGATGTACAGTTCCTGTAAGCATGCACCACCTCTGTGCTTCATCTTCAAGGGTGAAGGTAGCAAGTTGCACTTTTTGGACTTCGGTACACAGAAATACTTCAAATAGTTTTTCTATTCCCAACACCCATGCTTCAGCTATCATCAGTTCTATTCCTCCCTTGAATGATGGCGGCTTCATCTTCTTAAATTCCTTCATAAGAGTGATAGTCCGGTCCTCAGCATGAAAATCTTGTACCACAGGCGGAGGTACCGGTGGAGGTGGCGGTTGTGGTTGTGGCTGTTGGTGTTGTTGCCATAAGGTCTCTGCCATTTCCATGATCATTCTCTCCATCCTGTCCAACTGTGCATATGTAGCATCTTCCGGGTCTTCTGTTCTTGTTCTCACCATATTCTACATAACAAACAATTACAATATGCGCAAGAAATAGACAATAGGCATGGTTCAAAATTTTTAGCATTAGCTGAATACATTTAACGTTGCCATCGATCTTTTCATATGCTTTCAGAATGTTATGCATGATGCTTAAGTCTTCGCTAGACATCCTAAAGCTCAATGGATTCGTGTGTGAGATAGCAACTTGTGCTCTGATACCACTTGTTACGCCCCAAATCCGCCTCTAAAAGTTTGGGCATGACCTATTCAGAAACGGACACAAATTCTGTTTACATAAACTATGGGGCCTGAATGGAAGCATTAATATCATAGAAGAACATAAAACAATATCCATTGAGCTACCAATACTATGCCAGGATCACAAACATTGCATAAGGTAGATGAACATACAGTGACATGCATTTGAGAAATTAGTTATGTACATATACATATACAGACCCAGCCCCATGATTGGGCGTATAACAAAAATGTTGGTGAAGAAAGGGGTTATTTACATTTCAACCTTAGACAGGCAACTAGAGTACAAAACCAAAAGCTTAGTAAAACTCCCCAAAAATGCACGGGCTTCCTCTAAGTGCCTGGACACAATGAGGTTGACAAAAGAGAAACGAGCATCGAGGGTTAAGGCTGACCTCCAGATTGATTACCTACAGAAGCAAACAAAATACAGAGTGAGCCAGGCTCAGTGAATAATAGTACTTAAACTTAACATTAGATAAACTTGATTTATAATGCATATAGATGCGTAGGCATATGTTTAATCCCATTCAGTAAACATTTTCAGGACGGCCTCAGGCCCAGATTTTATTCAGAGCGACTTCAAGCCCAGAGATATACAGAATGGCCTTAGGCCAGACAGATTTTACAAATTAGCTGTAGGCCTAACAGATTCCACAGATTGGCCATAGGCCTAACAGATTTCACAGACTGGCCATAGGCCCAGATATCATCAGAGCGGATAGTTTCAGAGTCATACAGAGTTTCAGAGTTATATGAAAGTACACACATCCTATGATTCATTCATGTAAGTTAGCATAGTTGATATGCGATAACAGAGTGCGAATGGTAATTATTAGCGACAAGTACAGTGTATTACTACAGTACTACTACTCACAGTGTTGTGGCGGAGCGCTGGTTCCTCTCGGAGTGTGTCTTACACACATACATAAGTCACATATTAATGTTTTTCCTTGTTAAACCATTTCCGGACTCTCTTTGCTTCAATGAATTTATAAATATCAAAAAGACACCAAATACAGATTTAAAAAATATTAGAGGGTCAAGCACGTAAAACGGAGCGAACAAAATTCTTCAGCATGGGCCGCACGTGCGGCTGTGAGCCCCGCACGTGCGGCAGTTGGTCCCGTACGTGCGGCTGGTAAGCCCCATACGTGCCTTTCTAGCAATAGCCAAAGACCGAAACTGCTTTATTTCCCGCACGTGCGGCCATGACTCCGGCACGTGCGGCAATGCTCCCGCACGTATGGCCACGACCCCCGTACATGCAGCGATTTTCCCTGTGTGAGCAGTCCGAAATTCAAGCAAAATCCAATTTTTGGTGGGCATTTACAAGGCTCAAAATAGACTCATTAATTGCTACAACATGGTTCAAAGATCATGTAAATAGAAGGTACAAACATATAACAATTTCAATATGGATTAGATCTTCACTACTTTCACTCACCATCACAATTCATTTCCTTCAAGATCTAAATACATACATATATCTATCTCACACATAATTGGATGCAAGCATGTAGAATCAAGAATATGATGTAATTTCCTTTATATGGTTCAAATGAACACAAACAACCACATGATGAAAACACCTACTCAATTCTATAAGTGACATATACACACACACACAACAACACAAACCTTAACTTCCATGAATGCCCAAGAAATTCCTATCCATATACAAGGGAGGAGTTAATTAAGGTGAAATCTAATACCTTCAGCTTTAAAATCCCTATAAACCCTCTTAATTTTCTTCCTTGAAGGACTTCCCCTCTTCCTCCCCAACTCTACTTTCCTAACCCTCTCAGAACATATTTGAGTTCAAGTTCCTAAGTCAAATGTCTAGGGAAACAAATAAAAAGTGAATAAAGACGAAATTTAATGAGTTTAATCATTCCAAATTGAAAATTTACAAAAAAATCATAGTATGACCTAAAAATTACGTTGATCACAAATAGAGAATCAATTTCAGATAATTAAGTATCTAAGGCTTCCAATTTCTGATTCAAACATTATGATTGTGACAGATTTTTCTCTTATTAAACAGATATGCACCCATTATCATAGGATTCACTTAATTAAACTTAATTTCACATAAAGTTTCACAATAAGCATTTAAACGCACAGAATATGGGACTGAAAATGTACCAGAAACACACACGAGGGTCAGGTTATTACAACACTTTTGCCACTCAGGATGAGGGCACTCTAAATCAAGGGGCAAGCTGAAAAAAGGGATGTCGTACTAGAAATGTTCCTTTTAGCTCTAATCCTGTACTCGGATGAGATCAGTAAACCCGGTCAGCGCCTACGAATCCCTTTGCTGGTGCATCCAGCAAAACTCCACAAACCTCGAAGTACCCACCCCGTGGCCAGAGGGTCTTCAATCCCCTCTACATGACTTTGTCGAAAGCTTTCCGAATCCTTATAGGACAAGGCCATCTCAAGCCCCTAGAGCTACGGCCATTACCAAATAACCTCCCTCCCTCACACAACTCGGCAATTACTGTGCCTTCCATCAACAAGCCGGCCATGACACTGACATATGTTTTCATCTTCGCCACAAAATACAAGATCTGATTGATAACAAGGTCATTGTCGCGCCGGGTCCTTCAAAGTCTATCGACACTGGATCAGTGAACTTGGGGGATAATATGATTATGTAATTGGGGGATGAACCACCTGCGGATGGCGCTCATTTTTACTCCAGATATGGGATGGCACGCACTGTTTTGAGCAACGTGCAAATGTGTGTTATTTTACTTTCTAACTTGTGTATTGAGTTAGTTTTGTTGTGTTGTGTTGAGTATGTCTTGTTGTATCGAGTCAGTCCTGTCGTGTTAGAGTCGGGTGATTTCAGGGGTGTTACCTCGGATATCACTGTCTTGTTTTGTGTTTGTGTTTTACACTCTTTCTTTCGCGTCTGTTTCTGCCATTGAGCCAGTTGCGCCAGAAGATCTGAATGAAACAGTAGTGATTTTCACCCTTTTGCGTCTGCTTCTACCATTGGACCAGTCGTGCTAGAAGATTTGAATGAAACGGAAGTGCATTTTCACCTACATTTTCTATGCCTTGAAATCATTTCATTGACCTAAGTTTTTTAAAACTTTTTTTGAATGCTGTGATGAAAACAAAAACGGAGGAATTCCTCGGGATTAGTAAAAATTTGATCAACTGAGAAGAAAAGAGGCATGCTAAGCCCTTAATGAATGAGATCATGTTTGTTAATGTGAGTATTGAGAAGGATCCTGGCTTGATCCAGATTGGTTCTACATTGTCTGCAGCGCAAGCGACTAGTCGCTTTCTTAAAAGATTTTTAAAAAATGTTTTGCATGGTCTTGCGAAGACTTGTGTGGAATCACTCATGAGATTGTGCAGCCCAAGATCGCTCTTAGCCTCGAGACTCGACCCCTTTTGCTTTTAAATCGTGAACTTGGATTCAGAATGTTCAACGATCAACCACAATGTGAGGCTTGTATGGCCAGATTTGAAGCAGCCCATGAGCTAGGGGCCGTAAGGTCGTTTGACATCAAAAGAGGCCCGCCAGGTTAGATTCGAAGCAACCCTCGAACTAGGGGCAAGAAGGTTAGATATGATCAAAAGAAAGCTTATAAAGCAGGATGAGAAGTAGCCCTTGAACTAGGGGCAGGGAAAAAAATGTCAGATGTGCTCGAAGGGTAAAAAATTGGGACATTTCTCCAGCTAATGAAGATCAGTAAGAAAGCCAAATCCCAGAATGAAGGAAAGAAGAAAGTTTTGTTAAAGGACAATCGAGTTCTTATCCACAACACTAGGGGCAAATTCAGCCCCGATTGGATGGGCTCCTGCATCATTGTAGGCACCCCATTTTTGACCGGCCTTAAGACTCAAACGTCATCGATTGAGCGCTAGATGATTGCACATGTTTGTGCTCTTTTCGAGTTTCCAGAGTTTTCGGCTGAGTTCCTTGCCTCCGAGCCCCTGAACTCTTTGTGTTTTGGCTTGGTTTGTACACCATGCCTTGTTGACCTTGCCTGGAGAGAGACAGAGGTCTGTAGACCACTTTTTGTGCTCGTAGACCACTTTTCCCTCTTGTACACTAGTTTTCGATTTCCAAAGTCTTTGGTTATGCGCCTTGTCTCGGAACCTCTTAGCGTTCTCCGCTTGGCTTGGTTTTTGGACCATGCCTTGTTGCCTTTTCCTAGAGGGAAACAGAGGTCTGTAGGCCACTTTTTGTGGCCGTAGACCACCTTTCTTTCTCGTAGACCACTTTCTATGCTCGTAGACTAGTTTTCGAGGCTTTCAGCTGCGTGCCTTGTCCAGCGGACTTTTGTCTTGCTTTCTTTTCGTTTCTTTTTAACAAACCTTGTTTTCCTTGCTTGGAGGGTGGAATAAAGGGTGTAGACCAGTTTCTCCCCCTGAAGACCACTTTTCTTCCCCGCCAGCTAGTTTTCTGGTCGGCCAGCTGGTCTTGGTGGTCCAAAGGTCTTTGGACCACCAAAAGTGGTCGGCAGCCATGCCACCACCTTGCCTTCTTTGTGCAGACCACCCCTCCCCCTTGCCGACCAATTGGTCTCCTTGCAGACCACTTTTTCTGGTCGGCCAATGAATGCAAGTGGCTGGCCGACCATTTCAACTGGTCGACAGCTTTTCTGCACTTTTCTGCAGATATTTTTCTTGCTAGTTGTGCTAGTTGTTGGGCACAGAAAGCATCCTCCATACACGTGTATGGAGGGATTGATTATAGCTTCAAGCTTTTTGAACATGCTTGATGCTTG